CTGGTTTATACTCTTTTATGTGGCAGGGATTTTATGCTACATTATATTTCCTGGGTATTCCAGCATATGGATTCTGGAGACTATGATACATGAGTAATTGGGTTAGTATCTATGGTGACAAAACACATTTTGTCCCACAACTCAGTGGCCTAAAACAACAAGCGTCTGTTATCTCCTGGAGTTTCTGAGAGTCAGGAATCTGGGCGTGGCTAAGCTGGGTGGTTTTGGCTCCGATCCCTCATGAGGTTGCAGTCCAGATGTCCGGGGGACTGCAGCCATCTGAAGCCTGACTGGGTTGGAGGGGCTGCATCCAGCCTCACTCGTGGGGCTGCTGGCTGGAGGCCTCAGGTCCTCACCACAGGGACTTCTCCACAGGGCCACTCACAGTGGGCAGCGAGTGGTCCAGGAGAGCCAGAGAGTGACCCACACAGAAGCCTCAAAGACTTCCATGGCCTAATCTCAGGAGGCACATACCAACACTTCTGCCATGTTCTGCTGCTCCCGCAGTGAACTAACCCTGTACAGTGCCGGAGGGGGCTGCACAGGTGTGAATTCCAGCAGATGGGGGGTCATTGGGGGCCATCTTTGAGGCTGGCTACCATAGTGATGTTCTGAAAAATTGCTCTATAATAGAGAATTTAAACACATACTTATGTGTAGTATGGCTATAGGTATTTCCTAAATGCTATATGTCCTGGGAGTACACTGTCAATTCAGTGAAACTCAAGAAACTCAGGGTCAGCTATAGGCAAAGGTATCTTAATTTCCCCACAATTGCATCTCTCACTCTACAGCTGAGCAGACTGAGGCTTGCTCTTTGTCTGGTTGCAAGAAAACAATAGATTTTAACAATAAATTCAGGTTCCGACCTCCCAGTTCAAGTCTCCAAAGTGCCCCAGCTGCCTGATAAGACTTAATGTGTCAACGGTCTGGAGTTAACATTTGAACAGGGACAAAGAATGCATGGAATGGACAAAGAGATTATGGGACTCCAGGCGTCCCCTGAACTGGGTCCCAGGGGAGCAGGAATTTGGACAAGGAGATGCCTCCTGAAATGTTATCAGTTGTAAGGCTGTCCATGTTAGAATGCTGCTAAAGACAAAGAAACATAAAGAAAAAAAAATAGCCATGGTTTGCTTTGAGGGGGAGATTACAAACCATTTCAGTTAAATTGTATTCACTATCTGTAAAATTAACAACTGCCAGCATTTTGTAATGCAACAGGGTTTCTGGTCCAAGATATTAAGCTACACACATTACTGCTGCTTTCCTAGTCCCCCTCACCCAGACAAACACCCTCAAAGCATCCGAAAGGCTTATATGTATGCATAATACTGCTCTAACAACTGGAAACGCAATTTTCTGGTACAGTTGAAATCAGAAAGCATTTCTTTTTCTCCACCCCCCACCCCCCCATGAAACAGCTACATTGTGAAGGACATATGGCCTCATTTGAGGACTGAAAGATAGACACAGTTTTGAAACAGAGACTCATTGGCAGTATTTATAGCAGAACTGTGTAATAAACTCAGGGCATTGAAAATATGACGTTACTCTAGGCTAGTCTTTATTTTTAGAAGGCTTAGAAACCCCTGCCCAGTGTAGAATGGCTCTACATATGACCAATGTTCTTTGTTATCAAATGGTCATAGAAAGATGAAATATGGGCAGCCAGTCAGCAGGAACAGCAACCCTCAGAGCTTACGCTGGCACTTACAGCGAGTCTGAGCCACGGAGCTTTTTATGGAAGATGCTGGGTTTCATCTGGAGCTGGAATAAGAAACACGAACTAGAAAGGTTGTGTTCTGTGGAGGAAGAATGCCTTTTAATGCAACGCAGGTGTCTGGTGGAACGCTGGTCTTCAGAAATATTTTAGGTCCACTATTTAAAAAAATCAACAACAACTCTGAATGACATTAACCTTTGGAATTTAACTAGCTCAACAGGGCATATAATGATTAAAGCAGAAGGAAAAACCTGTAAAGAAATAATCTCTTGATGAGTTTAAAATGTTTAAACTCCGAAAAGCAACACAAAAACCTGAACAATATCAGCTTTAAGAAGATAAACAATGCCATGATTTTCAGTTTTGGCTGTGATCCATCAATAGCCTTTGAAGGCTATGGTTTTATATTTCCTCATTTTCTATAAATATACATCCTTATTCCTTCAGACCTGCCTGTTGAACCCTAGCTCATATTCAAAGCTTAGCTTAGCACAAAATTCACAGGCAGGGGGAGAGTCAAAGTAACTGTCTTGACAACTTAGGTTAAATCAGAGATGAAATCAACTGAATACTTATTACGTTCAAGCTCCTGCACTAACCACATTATCAACCATTCATTGAATACACATTTATTAATCCTCCCCAAACTCTGAAATACAGGCATTATTAGCCCACTGAAGACAGAAAAGGAGGTTTACAGAGTTGAATGAACTAACGTAAATCTATATAGCACGTGGCTAAGATGGGACCTCAAGCAGACTTGTAACCACCACATTATATCACAGAAAGGAAGTTTCACTGTCAGCTAGATTACCTAACTGCTATCTTCAACTATCAGTTTCAGTGCAGACATCCAAGGCTCCACTCCGCAACAGCAAAGACACCTATCCTAGTGGGCGTCACCCACCCACAAAGCTCTCCTGAGCTGAAGGCTGGAGCAGGCCTTAGCGAACGGCAGCCATGCAGCCTACAGCTCAGCAAAGTGGACTTGAGGGGCTTGAATTCCTCGGGCCTCCGGAGTGACTTTACTAGGTACATTTTCACACTCAAGCACCGGCTGAATATATAGATCTGACCTTTGGAAAAGCTGGAAAACCAAAAGGTAATATTATAGCTAATGAGAGACCACTACTTGCCACAGAGCTGAACGGCTGACCTGGTTATGAATGTATCACTTAGGCAAGTTTTAATGGCATCATTTGGCAGTTGCCAGCACAGGCTCCGGGGCCATATGTAATAGCTTGGGTTCAAATCCATTCAGCAGCTTACAGTTAATTTGACCAGTGAGGCAGGTTACATAACTTCTCTAAGCCTCCTAAAATAGTTAGGAGAATTAAGTGGGATAATTTTTGTAAAGCACTTACTTGGTGCTTGTGTGTGTGTGTGTGTGTGTGTGTGTGTGTGTGTGTGTGTGTCTATGAGAGGGAAAGAGAGAGAGAGAGAGAGAGAGAGAGAAAGAGAGAGAGAGAGAGAGATGGAGAGATCAAAGGAGTATTAATTAAAGAAAAGTAAGAAGCATTTAGTTCATAAACTGCTCTTACTGAAAAATAATAAAAATGGTTATTTGGAAACTGCTGGCTATTAACAGACACATTTTCAAAGAAATTTTGCATTTCCTATGTCATATTATAAATGCGGTTGTTAAGGGTTAAGCTGTGAGTCTGTGTTCAAACCCTGACTGCTGCTTACTACTCAGATGACAGCAGGCAAGTTTCTTACATCTTTGAGCTCAATTTTCTCAGCTATAAAATGGGGACCATTCTAACACTTCCCTCAGGGGTAACCACTGTTTGATGCTTAACACAATCACAGCACAGTCCCTGGCATACAGTAAGCTCAGCATACCTGGTCGCTAGTACTATAGTGATTTAAGATATTATTTAAAAACAAGGACAAAACAGGAAATCTGAAGCTCGGGGCGGGGGGGGGGGGGGGGGGGGGGGGAGGAGATGAAAAGGATGTTGGCTTTCTCCCTCCTTTCAGTTGGACTTGCCTAAGTTGCCTAAGTTGGGGCTTAGGCCCCAGGACTGTCCCCTGAGAAAGGTGAGTTTCCCACACGGTTCAGTGAAGCCACAGGTTCCAGGAAAGACTTGGCCAGCCCAGGGGCCGCGGGAACGTCCCTGGTCTCAGGGGGCTGGTGCTCCAGAGGGGGCACGGCGATCTTGTGCCAGGAGAAATTACTGACCGGCACACGTGAATGCCACCTGGAAGAGCATCTATCTACATGGCTGCGCTTACTTGTTAGGAAGAAACAACAAAGGCTGCATGTTTCTGAACTGTTGAAGGTGCTGCCCTAGGCTTCTGTGTGAATCCCTGAAGAATCAGACGTGAGGATGAGAAGGAATGCCCTGTCCCCACCCTCCGGAGGACAGTGTGTCCATGCTCCCGGGCAGGCCACAGTGAGCCGCACACTATTCAACCCCCTCCTGCCCCGGGCCTCCTGCGGCCCAGACACCCTGAAAGGTGACCTGTGTCCTTAGCTCCTTATTAATGGTTGACTTTTCCACTGAAAGAAGGGGGCATTACACGTAAGGTAACCATCGGTAAGCTGAATTTACTAAATTTTTCTTAACATTGGTAAATACACTTATTCTTTGTGTTGTCACTGTTATATCTAAACAAGGGGCACTATATTGCCTGGCGGACAGCATACAGACTGTGAACCAATGGGTGTTACGTCAAATTCCACTCAACCATTTCACAGCTCAGACCTTCGCTAGCTCCTTGGACAAAGCCACCTCAGAGTAAAAATATCAGTGACCTTGTGCAGAGGAGTGAAAAATGCTGCGTTAGCTACTTCCTAGGAGCTCAATAGATGTCATTCTTTGTTCCATTTTTTCCCTTTGTATAAGTTCAATGTTTGTTCAGTATTATTAGAGAGCTAACGCTTTTTCCCTAACAAAGCATGTGTCGAGGAGCAGTTTCACAACCCAGGCTGAAGTAGAACTGGTCAGAAAACAGCTGTTATACACCCTTGAGAACATGGTAACCTTTCAACAAAATTCTCATCCAGTGTGTATTTGGCATCTGGCAGTCTAGTAAATAATGTGTAATTAATTAAAATCTCAGATCCTTTGGGAAATAAGTAAACTTTCTTTGTCTTTTAAATTGGTAGGCAAACAAATTTAGACCAAATTATTCTTAAGCCTTTGAAACACAAAACAAATGAAATATTACCTCTAAAGGCTTAATGATACACTGGTATTTTCTGGGTTCCCATACAGAAATTCTAACATTTTTTTACTTTATTAAAAATATAAAACACTTAGCATTTTCTCTGATATATAGCATTTCTTTTTTTTAATGAAGATATCAGAGGTATTGCCTCCATTTTCCTCTGGATTTCAAATGCTGGGACAGCTGCGACACTGCGGTTTGGGTTGGTCCCTGGGGTTCCTGACCTGCCAACAGCAGCCAGGAGGGCTGTGCCTTTTCTCTGCGGTGCAGAGTTCTAACCCCAAACCTGCTGCCCCTGTTGGCTTTACCGTCACAGTGGCTCTCTAGCCCAGAGCTGCCCTGTTTTCTCCACATCCGCATAGAGCGATGCTGGTAGAAGGGAGTCCGGCTTTCCCTGAATACTCTCCAGGTCACAGCTGTCCCCACCTCAATGTTGCTTTTAGCTTCTCTTTGTACCGAAAAGAGACTGTCTCTGTGCGGCCCACGCTGCTGACTTTGTCTCGGGCTCTTTGTCCTTTGTCCACTTTCTTTGGCCACACTGTGTTGTTACTGTCACTGTTGACTTTGTCCCTCCAATGTATCAAGTTCGTTTGTAGTTCAAGCCTCTTGTACTTGCTGCTCCCTCTTCTCAGAACGCCCCTCCTACGGGTCTTCCCGGGGCCAGCTCTTCCTCTCTAAGGCCTCAGCAAAACGTCCCCTCCCAGACAGGTTCCTCCATCACCTAAAGCCTCCCGGACGCCACGTCATCGCTATCCCACCAGACTTTTCGCTTTCCTTCACAGCACCTACTGCCATCTGCAATGACGTTCTCCTTCTACGTCACTGTGTGACTCCACGCTCCTGGAGGTGAGCTGCATGAGGACGGGGATCTTGTCGTTTCTGTTCTCCACAGAATCCCTGGTGTTTGGCATGGCGCCCAGAGATGCTCCGCAAGCATCTCCTAAAGGAATAAATGAATGGATCAATGTCTTCATCTTCTTCTCCACCTACTGAAATCTTACCAAGTATTCAAGGTCCACGTTCCCCCTATAAATATCCTTCCAGAGGACTCTAGCCCACAGTACTGATTAGAACAAGGGCCCTCGTTATTAACAGTACTAAACTACGCCTTAGAATTCCTCACCACTTTGCCCTCAGCTTCGACTGATAGTCAACTCTGACCCACACGATGCTCTTGATGTAGGTTGGAACCAATCACGTATGGGCCCAGTCAGTCCTCAGAGACCCTAAGTGAGTGTGCAGCCCCGTAAGGCAGCAGCCTCTTCCCGACAATGAAGCTTTGGAAGCAGGATTCCCACCAGGCTGGCCGAGGGAGGCAGTGAGGAGGCCCATTCAGCCCATTCCGGCCCGGCTGTTACCGGGCGTGGCACCAGGTGAGCCTTGTGTGAATCACGCCGGGCTCGGAACACCCTGTGCGCTTGCTGTCCCTCGTCCTCCCTCCAAGCGCCCTCGGTCCTCTCCAAAGTGTGCGTCCTCAGATGGGCCCAGGGCCTGCTGTCCTCTGTATGTGGCTTTCCAGCTCTGGGTCCCAGGAGGGGCCTCTGCAGGACAACCGCTCCCTCCTGGCCGACAATTCCTTCTGGGCAATATCAGGCTCTTAGTGTTGGCAGCGGTGAGTTTCATAAATCCCTCTGTGCTAGAACTGAAAGAACCCTGGGGCGCCGTCTCCATGTCCCACTGTCTGAGCTGCAGCTCCTGACACCCGCCCTCTGTGGTGCAGCACCCAAGGAATGAGGGAAGAGTGAAGGCGGGCAGCAGGTTGGGACAGAGGCCTTGATGAGCAGCTGGGGGGCAGCTCGCACTCTTCTGGGCGTGCGGGCAGCAACTTTCTCTCACGCTTGGCCTTCAGGAACTTGATCAACACGGCACAAGCGTGTCCTTTGGGGAAAAATCAAGTTACCTGCTTGATGCTTTTGCTCTTCTGGTCATTTCTGAACATCTAGCCCCCAACTGCTCTCCCCTCGTGTTTTCAGCCTCCCCGCCCCCCCTGCGAATGCTCCCTGTTTCTCCCCACGCCCATGTCAGGGGTGTTTTTCTACACGGCTTACTCAGCCTGAAATTGTCCTCACAACACCCCGTTTCTGTTTTCCTCTTTGAAGTACATGCTCTATCATTTTTTAAAATCCCTCTTTTGAAATCTGTTGCTTGTATAATGGGCATACCAGAACCGAAATTTTCACCTTAGGGATGGAATAAAGAGAAAAGAGGAGGAAGAAAGATAAGAGAAGCACTGGATCTGTTTCTCATCTTCCTCTGTGGGGCTAAAGGAAAAACAGGAACCAGGCCCCCGCTCTTTACGAAGCACCCTCCCACCTTGAGGGGTCCCTCATCTGCCCCGATGCACTGGAGCTTTAATTATCCATCTAAAGCCATTCGGCTGTTAAAGAAATAGGCTGCCTTTTATTTATGTTCTGTTCCACTATTACAGTTACCAATATTGATCATAACAAAGAAAAACAACCAAATTGCCCATGTTCTTTGTTATTTAACCTTCTTTAATATTTAATCCAGTCATGATTTGTTTGCTCTCATTAAAATAGGGTGGTGTAAAATATGAACATTAAGAAAACGATTGCATCTTTAAATTAGGCATATAGTAGACATTTTAACATACACAGAAGAGAAATATAAGGGTTTCTATGACAAATATTTATAACAATATAACTTTTTACAGACACTTAAAATGAAATTTAAAATTTCAGCTTTTTGAGTGAAATGAAACCACTGTGAGATTTAAATTATAAAGCATGTGTGGTGTGACTGTGGGATTTTATCTCAACTTTTCTAGAAAGCACAAAACAATGCAGCTGCATTTTGACGGCGGTGCCACTACACCACTTGGTCTGCTGAGATTCCAGTCGAGAAGAAGCCTTTTGTTTCTGGACAGAATCGCTCTGCAGAACAGCACTGGATTTCTTCAAACTACCGAGGATGGCCTGTTGCTCAAGAGATTTAGGTTCCCAGTGAGGTTTAGTGCACATGACCATGAGGGCATAAGGGAAATTTTCAAAAGCCATTCGGGTTTTAAGTAGAGGATGTGAACTTAGCTAGAAAGATGAAAACATCAAAGACAAGAGCACGTGCCGGACACACGTGAGCTAATTCAACCCACAGTGCCAGAATAGGGCGCAAAGTTCTCCCTTTAATTACAAAAGTCAAATAAAAGGTAGGGAATTGCCTGGTTTCTACAAAAACACTGACTATAAATATATAAATTCCAATGAAGAAATCGCAAAAGCACTATTCTGACTGGTGGCTTTAAAGTCTGCTTTCCATTTTGTGTGCCATTTGGATAATAACCAGTCCCCGTTGTTTGATCCCTGGCAACGCTAATTGAATTGAATGTTATCTCATTTAGTCAAGCTAGCAGCTCTTGCAGGGAGAGACTTTCCATGAAGATCCTGAGGCATGGAGAGGTGAAGTGGCTGGGCAGCGAGAAGGGCAGAGGCTTCCTGTGACTTTCAGACAGATGTGTACGGTCCTTTGAACTCACCAATGAAAACTAAACCAAAGCACAAGTATGAGATCACTAAAGGGTAAAAAACCCTAAACAAAGCCAGTGGATTTCAGAGTCTGACCTTTCGCTGGTTTCTTTGGTGATGAAACATATATAACTGCACTTGTGAGGCTCTCAGAAAAATGGAGACATTTGAGAGAGAAAATATGCAAACCATGATAATCCGCTGGGCTGTTGTTCTTTTAAAAGATAGCCATCTCTCCAGACAGCAACAACATTAATCATGACCTACACATTCTTTTTCCAATACAGCACTGAGTTCATTTCAAGTTTCACAATGTGTTTTTCGGCACGGAAATAGAGCAGCAGTTGTCAGAGCGAAGTTAAGTGCCCCCTCAGATGCTCTTCACTGACAGTGTGTCAGCACACGGGGGCCTCAGGGCGTCTGAGTAAAGAGCTGCATCCTCCACCTGGAGCATGCGGCGGAAAGCACGTCTAAAAGTGATGTTCCCCTTTCAACTAGTCAATTCAATGGATGTTTCCAGCAAGTGGCTTTCTACTTAATGAATGTGTTTATAGATACTTCGGTTCTTGCTCGGTGACTTGTTTATACTTTATTCTAGAGCATGTCACATGCCTGCAATTATTTGCTGACTTCTCACTCCCTCGCTAGACTATGAGCCATTGGGGTGCAGGGGCTTTTACTCTGTAAAATACACACACAGAACGCTTTCCCAACTTCAGGACTATTGACATTTGGGGCCAGAGAACTCCTGATTGTTGATGGGGGGCTGTCCTGGCCATGGCACGATGTATAACAACGCCCCTGACATCTACTCACTAGACTCCAGGAGTCCTGACCCATCCACCCATACTGTCTCCAGACTTTGCCAAATGTCCCCTAGGGGACAAAAGCATCCTCGGCTGAAAACCAGTGACATGGAAGAATACACGCACATACCAAGACAGACATGCTGCTTCTAATTTAGTAACTTACAGTCACACACCCCTTAACACAGCCATATGTCCTGAGAAATGCGCCGGTAGGTGGTCTGATCCTGTGCAGACATCACCGAGTGGACCTGTACTAGATGGCACAGCCCGCCACACACTCAGGCTGTCTGGCATACCACTGCCGCATATGTGGTCTGTCGCTGACTGAAATACCTTTATGTAGCACATGACTACATTTAAAAAAATGTCTTTGAATAGGTAACAGGTACACAGATTACAAAATCCAAATAACAAAAGGAGAGAGTGAAAGGTAAAACTCTCTTCCTTTCCCTTCAACCAACCAGTTTCTTACTTAGAAATGAAAGGCACTCTCAGATAGACGCTGCTTACGAGGGGGGCAAATTGGTAGACCTTTCTTATAAGACAATATAGCAATATCCATTAAGACTTCACATGTGCATAACCATGTTGCTATTGTCTGTGAGTCTGTGTCCTCCGAAAAGTCTTATGTCGAAGTCCTAACCCCCAAAGTTGATGGCATTAGTAGGTGGGGCCTTCAGGAGTTGGTGAGGTCATGAAGGCTGTACCCTCATAAATGGGGCTAGTACCCTCATAAAAGAGATCCCACTGATCCCTAACCCCTTCCACCAGGGGAGGGAGCCACACAAAGTCTGCAGAGGAGAAGCTTCTTCCCAGGAGAGCACTCACTGACCAGGCCGGCAGCCTGATCTCAGACGTCCAGCCTCCAGAACTGGGAGCAGAACCTGTCTGCGGCTCATAAGCCCCCGCCTGTATTTTGTTACAGCAGCCCGAAGGCACTAAGACGTGTTCTTATTCTGAGGGTTTTCAAACCATGCACAGAGAACATGTAACTGTCCTTAGAGGCAGAGAGTAACATGGATAATGACAACATGAAAGTCCACTGATTTACACACAAGCTTCAATCCCCTCATTCATTCATGATTTTATGAAATCTCCTAAGAAATAGCAAAATGATGGAAAACGTGATCCTCTACTTTACTCTATCCTCAAACCACTCTTGACCGATATACTGATGATTAGCGAAATGGCTAAGAAGTCGGCAACAGTGAGACAGGGTAGAAACCAAGTGCTTGATTGAGCCCCCAAAGGACAATCTGCTACTGAATCATTAAGGTCTGACTATGCAGTCGATGTAAATTATGCCTAACCAGTCCCTTCTGCTCAGCCCTTTCATCATATCACGGGAAACGGGCCACATAGAGGAAGTCTTTCCACAAATGGTTCCCAGTAAACGGTGTGCTGGTGTTTCAATGGGGAAGCACGAAATGAATTAAATGGCCTAAATACAGAGACGAGAAGAAAGATAATTAGAAAGGTACTAAATGGTTGGCCAGCACTGAAGTCTGCCATACCTCTTCAGACTCCCTCTATGTTATCTTTATTCCTATAAACAAATCAAATAGATCACCTACATCCACAGAGGACATTTTACAATCATACAAGTGTCCCTAAATGGCAACTGAAGTGAAATAAACCAAAGTTTCCTG